GTGGGGTCGGCGCCCTGGGCGGGGGAGCCGCCGCCTTCCCAAGCGGCGCACTGTACCAGTGCGCCACCGGGCCGGCCCATCCACTCCTTTTCAGTAGCTCTGACTGAGCCCTCTGAGGCTTTCTGGTTCTTTAGACAGTAGTAACTCTGAGTCCCTCCTCAAAACTGGGAACTGGGGAGTGTATAAAAATAGAGGTGGGGGCATGAGGATGTGGAAGGAAATATGTAATGGAGACCTAAAAGAAGAAACTGAGGCAAAAAGATAAAACAAAGAGTTTTATTTGGGCCAAATTTTAGGATTGCAACATGGGAAACACAAATTCAGGTTGCCTGGAATTGTGCTCTGGAGGACAGAGAGGTCTAATATTCAGAGGAGAAAGGAGAATCTTAGAGGAGAAGTTCCCAAGTTGTTTTCTAAGAACTTACCTTTCTTTTTTACTAAAATAACATAAGTTACTGATTTTCTATACATTCTTCTTTGCGTCATAAATTCCAGGAACATTGCAACTAAAAAAGTGTGGGTCACATTGTACAATTAGTGATAACATTAGGGTAATCTCTACCTGCAGCGGCGTCACCTAGTCTGGAAACTGCCACTAGAATGTGCTTTTTAGCAATGATCTCAGATAAGGGTGAGGAGATGTGACCGAGGCCCTATGTTCATATCTTTCTGGCTTTCTGGGCCTGGGAAATTTAGCAGAACTTGCATTTCTTAGATTGTCCTGAGCTAATTTCTTCCTTACTAGCAGGATGATAAAATGGGACTCCTGGGTTTCAGCAGAGCCATGAAGCTAGTTCCAGAGTGAGCTGTGAGAGGGACCGTGAAAGAGCTCAAAGTGGATATCCCAGACCTGTTAGGTAACCCGCCCGCCCTGAGGGTATGAAAGTCAGGTGGAGATTGTGAAGAACTCTCTTTTAAGAGAGAAAAGGCCAGCAAGAGAGCTCACGTAATTGTCTAGTACAGGAAATATAAAATACTGATGGAACAGTGTTTGTTACTAATGGAGACCTAAGGGTTTTGGTTGCTACTGAGTGTCCAGGGAGGTCATGGGGCCTGCCACGGTTTTCATCCAGACTCGGGGGATGAAACAGAATGAAAGGAGCCAGGGAGGCATAGAGTTGCCCTTACGATGTGTCTCATGAGGACTTTTTGTTCTGAAGACTGGTTACATGTGAGATGAGTTTGCAGTGAGAGGCCATTTAGGGAGTAGGAATAGAGAGATTAAGTTTCCAGTGTCCACCCTGCATTGGACACTGGGCACCACCGAACTGATGTTCTCTCTCTGCAATGAGAATATTCCAGATGTGAAGGTGAATCAAGTCATTGAAACGCTTTAGACCTCTCAAAATAAAATGCTACTGAAATAACCCATCCTTATCATTGTGATCATATAAAGTATGCCGAGTGGTCATGTTAAAATGACAGGATCTCATCTTACCATTCTGGTTTTGCAGCAAGAAGTCCAAAGTTTCTTTGTCATTATGGCTTTGATTTCTGTGCCATGGATGCTTCTGATTAAGCCGTTTGTTCTTAGAGCCAATCATCGGAAATCCCAGGTATGGCTGTTCATTTCAATTCCCCCACTGTGGGTAGAAATGTGGGTTCCTGGAGATGGAAATCTGGGGTTTAGAGAGAATGCTGATCTTCCAGAGCCCGAAGGACAGTGGGGAGGTGTTAGGAACTGGCCTGTCCCAAGTCTGTTTCCTTCTGTAGAGCTAGACTTTCCCCCTCAGCCCTCTTATTTCCAGCATAATGCTCTATTAAGGGCAAGTACAGTTAAATCTTCTTTGTTTATTTTAATTTTGTTTTTGGCACCTGGCCAGTATGGGGATCTGAACCTGTGACCTTGGTGTTATAAGGCTGCGCTGTAACCAACGGAGCCACTGAGCTAATCGGCCAGCCTAGCAGTTAAATCTTAAATCCTCAAACTTTGCTCAGTGTGTGTGTGCGGAGTCTAGTGGTAGTTAATGAACATGGTTGTTTTATTAGTTGAAAATTAAGGGCCGAGCCCGTGGCGCACTCAGGAGAGTGCGGCGCTGGGAGCGCAGCAGTGCTCCCGCCGCGGGTTCGGATCCTATATAGGGATGGCCGGTGCGCTCACAGCGCTCACTGGCTGAGCGCAGTGCGGCTGGTCTCAAAAAGGACAAAAAAAAAAAAAAAAAGAAAATTAAGAGTATTTTACTATTGTCTTTTTAAACGAATATTAAAAGTTGTTTTCCATTAGTATTCTAAAGTTGTAAGATTTTACTATGTTATGTTATAGATTGTGTGAGATTATTTGTGACTTTTCCCCTATTGCCAAATACCAGTTTCTTCCTTTTGTCTAAACTGCTCCTGAGCCTCAGATTGACTCAGGGGATGACGAAGAATTTACTGTCAGCCCGAATCAAATAGGATGTTGGAAGATGAACCTTCCAGGGGACATCAGAGTTCAGCTATGACACACAAAGGCTGTTGGAGATGATCTGCTTTCCTTCATTAGTGGGGCTCACTCAGGACAGTGCGGCGCTGGGAGCGCAGTGGTGCTGGAAGCACCAAGGCTGTGGGTTCAGATTCTATATAGGGATGGCCGGTGCACTCACTGGCTGAGCGCGGTGTGGCTGGTCTCAAAAAGGAAAAAAAAAAAAAAAAAAGAAAATTAGGAGTATTTTACTATTGTCTTTTTAAACGAATATTAAAAGTTGTTTTCCATTAGTATTCTAAAGTTGTAAGATTTTACTATGTTATGTTATAGATTGTGTGAGATTATTTGTGACTTTTCCCCTATTGCCAAATACCAGTTTCTTCCTTTTGTCTAAACTGCTCCTGAGCCTCAGATTGACTCAGGGGATGACGAAGAATTTACTGTCAGCCCGAATCAAATAGGATGTTGGAAGATGAACCTTCCAGGGGACATCAGAGTTCAGCTATGACACACAAAGGCTGTTGGAGATGATCTGCTTTCCTTCATTAGTGCAAAGGATTAAGCGGAATGTGCTGAGATTCGTTGTTTAAAGTGGTTGTAGATATGTTGCAATTAACTTCTATCATTCTAAAATTTTTGTTGGAAAGTTACTGGTAGAGTTGGGGACCTAGTCGTGACAAGATATGGTACCCTCTTTTTCTATCACCTGCCTCTCTTCCCTCTGTCTTTTTGTTGCCTGCCAGTCTTGACTAGTTCCAAAGCCCAGCTGAAACACAATTTATGTGCCATGTGCATAAAGAGGAAGACAGAGAAAAAAATACTTGTTTACTGTTTGGTTAACTGGTGAGAGACCGAGGTGGTGAAAGGTGGTTGAGGTGGATGCTTGTCCAAACAGGTGACCAGGTGTTTCAAAGGAAGGGGACAGATATTTGTTTGGAGAAGTAGATGTGGTTCTTTTTCCTAGAAACTCAACGTGTTCAGAAGCCGAGGGTCAGATAATTGCTGGCTTCCCTGAGTCCCAGGACTCTAAACTTGTAGCTTGTCTTTCTTTGCACCACAAGAGCTGCTTAAACAGTTGTTGACCTCAAAGTGGTTGATTTCTCCTTTTCCTGACGGGGTGACTTGAGCAGGAGGGAAGGAAGTGGGGAGGTTCTCCTGGTCTGCACTGTGGGTGATGCCCCTGAAGACTGCTTGGAGGCCCGTCTCTCTGGCCCTACAGATGCTCTGCTTGCTGTTGGTTGGCTCCTGAGGCTGCTGAGCAGGGTCCTGGTGGTTCTTTCTCATGTTAGAAGCATTACCGTCTCCATTTAAGAGATGATTCTGTAACAGCATTATTTGTCCCCCTCCTTCCTCCTCCCCCCATGGAATCTTACAAGCCCAATACAGAGGTCATAAATGAATTTGTTCTGATGGACCTCAGGGGATATGAGCAGAGATCCCACCTATTCAGCCTCCGCTATAACCCTAGAGTCCTGGGTCCTTGCAGAATGTGGTCACTAGAGGGCCACCTGTGGTGTGGCCTTGTGGCTTATGCCCAGTAGGTAGCAGTGAGGACACCTCTCCTGAGAGCCGCTAGAGGCCAGCCCCTTGGACCACATGGGACCCCACATTCGGCCTCCCCCTCTGACTTGCTGCCGTGGACCCGGGTCCCCTCACACTCCTGCATCTCAGGTCACAGTGAAGTGCCTTTGTGTTTCTATTTAAATCTCTACGTTGACATGTGCATTTTTTATGATAAACTTCATTGAAATATAACATACGAGCACATACAGAAAGTGCACGTGCCTTTGTGTTTCTATTTAAATCTCTACGTTGACATGTGCATTTTTTATGATAAACTTCATTGAAATATAACATACGAGCACATACAGAAAGTGCACGTGCCTTTGTGTTTCTATTTAAATCTCTACGTTGACATGTGCATTTTTTATGATAAACTTCATTGAAATATAACATACGAGCACATACAGAAAGTGCACGTGCCTTTGTGTTTCTATTTAAATCTCTACGTTGACATGTGCATTTTTTATGATAAACTTCATTGAAATATAACATACGAGCACATACAGAAAGTGCACCGATAATGAGGACACAGATCAGTGAAGAATCACAGTGTGAACACATTCATGTCACAAGCACTCAAATCAAGACACAGGTCATTATCAGAACCCAAAAGTCCCCTTGCGCCTCCTTCCTTTCATTCTCTCGCTCCAAGGGCAACTGTTGTCCTGACTTCAAACACTGTAAGTTCATTTCACCTGTTCTTGAACTTTATATAAATGGAATCATCCAGAATGTCCTCTTTTGGATCTGACCTCTCTTGTGCAATGTTATATTTGAGAGATTTTTCTGTGCATGTGTGTGTTTGCTGCATAGATGCTACCTGCTGTGTAGATACTATATAGCATCGAGAATCCCATGCCACAATAATTGAATATTCAATACCGCACCATTCATATATTGAGAGTTATTTGGCTTGTTTCCAGTTTTAGTAATTATAGACAGTGATGCTATAAACATCCCTGTATATATCTTTTGGCACATGTATTTTTAGAAAATAGCTAACTTAAAATTGATTGCTATACATTTTATTTCACACGGCACCCAGCTTAAGCATTGTGAGACGTTTGGTACGGGGACTACAAGTTCATCTTGACTGGAGAGAGGATAGTTACTAGGACTCACAAAGTCCAATATCACACTTCTACAAAATTATTCATGTTCATTTAAACCAATTCAAGGATAATGAGCAGAAAAGACTAGAGTTGGAGATAGGGCTGGCCAGTTAGCTCAGTTGGTTAGAGTGTGGTATTGTAACACCAAGGTCAAGGGTTCAGATCTCTGTACCGGCCAGCTGCCTGCTCCCTCCAAAAAACACCAGGTTTGGAGATAAAGAAACTACTTTCTGTCTCTTCTTGATATTTTCTTCTTTAATCTGAAGGAGAGAGAAAATAGGATTTCAAGAAGTCAAACATAATGTCAAGTTGAGCTACCTCCCTCACCATGGGGAAGGACCCACGAAGCCAAAGGGAAAGGCACACCCAGAGCCCCCTCTTAGTACCTGGCATCCTAGTCTTCCTGTCCAAAAGGATCTGTACCCACTTCTCGGTCCTACAAAGGCCTTTTCCCGTGGTTTTCTGAGGGCAGAACATGCCACGGGCATGGGTACCACTAGACTCTGGGGTGACCATGGGGTGGCTATTGGGGGGGATGTGGGTGGCACTTGCACACTGTGGGCTGGGGTGTCGTGTGTGTGTGTGCATGAGGCCCTCATGACATGGGATGAAACCACAAGTGAGAAGAAGAGGGTGCTATGCTCCAGGGCCAGCTGCCCCTTGCTGCTGTGGCATGGCGTGGGACACTGAATTTGAACCTAGCCTTCCAAGTTCTTACGAGGATTTATTTCTCAAGCTAGGAGGCTAGAGCATATTTTATTTAGGGCCGGCTGGGTTTATTTATAACTTTAAAATATTTAAATTAATGGCGTATGGGCTTCCATTTTTACCCTTTCCCAGAGCCCTGCAAATATTAGGTGCAGACCTGCTAAAGAAAGAAAAGTAAAGACATTTTAATGCCTAATTTACAAAATTACTTCCATGAAATTATTCTAGGAAAAACTTTAGATGTGGGACACTAAGCTTAGCAATGAATTGAAAGAAATACAGTATTCCATTCAAACTGAGGGATAAAACTGGGCCTAATTGAATGGTGACTATACTAGGTTTTTTTCCTTGAATTTTTCTCTAAGCTATTTTTACAAAAAGTGATGCTTTTATTTTAAAAATATATTAGTGTTGGAAAAGTCATTAATCTCTTAGTTAATTTTGCCCATAGAAATCTGGCTGTTAAAGATCAGAAGTCTATGATGTCGAAGGTACAACTGACAATTTCTGACTGTGTATTTCTTTTAACAATAGAAAGGCACTTTTGTATATGCACTGGTTTACTGTAAAGACTGTGCATAATTTGGCACATTCTGGAGCGCTGTGGAGAAAAGTACATGCTCTGGAATCAGACTGGCTGGATTTGAATCCTGGCCCTGCCTCTTACTAGACTTACCAGCTGTGTGACCTTGGGCTCATTTCCTAACCTCTCTGTGCTGCAGTTTACGTCTCTGTAAAATGGGCTGATCACTGTGGTTATGTAAAATAGTTGTTATGAAGGACAAATGAGATCATAGAGGGAGAGTTTAGAACAGCACCTGCTGCGTAGCCAATATGTAATGAGAGCCTTTCTTTTAGAGAGAATTGTTACAATTCTACAGGGGAGTTTGGTGTTCTCTTCATTTCCTTGCTTGCTGACAGCTGCAGTTATCCATGAGCCAAGCAGATGCTGCGGAGGACATTGAAGGTCACAGCTCTGGCCCTTCCAGCACTTCTGGTCAAAGTACTTCAGCAGGTGCCCACGGGGCCCAGGACGACCACGAGGAAGAGGTATCTGGGACTAGATCACCCGAGGAAGACTTCCCAGTTTGCACAGATTCTAGAAGTGGGATCTTGCCTTAGCCTCTAGGGTGTGGGCACCAACCCATCAGCATGGACACAGGGAAGGCCTGGAGTCTACACTGGGAGGCCCCGGAGGACACTAGTGGGTGGCAGCCCTGTAGCTCCTGAGTCGTGGGAGGTCACGAAGGCACTATGGAAGGAGGAGCATCTAAGAGAAACAGAACAGCTATTTACCGACCAATCTGGAAGACTAACATTTTAGCCCAAGTACTGCTATATCTGTCCTGATACCAGCCTCGGATCTGGTGGCATGGAAGGTCCTACATGCTACTGAGGCCTCCTTGGCTCAGAACCATGCCCTTAGGAGTCCGCTGCATTTATTGTGACCAACCCCATCAGTGCCCCTCGAACAATGAAAGCAGAGCCACATCTAGCCCTAGCTATTGAAGCAAAACATGGATTCTTTATTCCCAGCCTCCTTTCCACCATAAGCGTGCGCGGCGGCTGCAGCCTCTCCTTTGTTCTGTCTTGGCTTCGTTCACTTATCTCTGCCATGTTATCTGCCTCTCATGTAAATTCATCAGGGGTTTTGCTTTCTCATCCCTCCTGCCTGTCTGTCCAAGGGCAGCCACTCCCTGCCTCCCCACGCCCCAGGAATGTGGGCCACATTTTCCCAGATGAAGGCAGCTGCAATCCTGAGTCCCAGGCTGGAGGCTTTCTCTGGAGCTCTCTTCTAATTCTAGACTGGGGACTGGGTTCCCACGAGGGCCAGAGATGCTATCAATGGCCCCATTAGTGGTGTGAGTTACTAAAAAAAGTATTCATTTGAACTAATGGATGGTCAACTGGAATTAATAAAAAATCTGGATCATGAGAATTTTTTCCAATGAGATTCCAGGTTCAGAGAGTAACCAGCAGTAGCGGCTGTTGATATTACCAAGTCCGTCAGACCTGCTGGAATGGTTTAGAATCCAACCCACATGTCTTCTGGCTCATCCCGTCTTTGCCAGTCAGTACAGCCTCCTCCTCTATCTCCTCATGCCCTCAGTGTACATTCCAGCGATTTCCACCTGCTGTCTCCTCCGTGACCTGGCCGCCCTTGTCTGGGCAACTTCAGTCTCCCTTTCCCTGGGTACAATCATGCACAGGTCCCCCATCTCCAGGCAAATGTAGGCTTCACCCTGCTCCCCTCTCAAGTTCCTATCCCACTTCTCACCAGGACTTAGCCAAACCCAAGGCTAAGGGCAAGTCCCCCAGACTGCCAAGTCTGCTCAAGACATTTGATACCAGCTGCAAGTTTGGGGGTTCCCAAGACCACTTTCACTTCAGATGAGCTGACTGCAAATTTGGGGGACCCCCTCAGACTCCTTCAGGTTCAGTAATTCTTAGAGTGACTCACAGAACTTAGGAAAGTGCTATACTTAAAATTACAGTTTTATTACAGCAAAAGGATACAAATCGGAACCATTCAAAGGCATAGGGCAGAATCTGGGACTGGGAGGGTTTCAGATGTGAAGCTTCTGTGTTCTTAGGGACGCATTACTCCCGCAGCATTGCTGTGTGGCAGTGTGTGTCCAGAGTACTGCCAGCTTGGGAAGCTCGCCCCAGCTTTGGTGTCCAAAGTTGTGTTGGGGCTTCCTTTGATAGGCAGGAATGATGGAGCCCAGCCCAGGTGGTGCTGCCCTCAACCTCCAGCTCCCTCCCATCCCTGGAGATCAGTCCCAACTCTCTAATCACGTGGTCAGTCTTCCTAGTGTGGCCAGCTCCTTGCCCCCTGTACCATCAGGGCCCCATCAAGTGTCACCTCATTAGCAAAAGCTACCAGGTGTGGTCCCAGGGGCCCACCATGCATTACAAAGACACTTTCACCTGGGACATGCCAAGAGTTTAGAGGTTTTCTCCAGGAGCCAGGCCAAAGCCAGATTTCTCTCTGGGTGAAATCAATCCTTCGCTGCACTCTGCTCCTTTGCTTGACTCTGCCTGCTCACTCCATCCCTGTCCAGCCCTCAACTGCTCACAGCAGGTTTCACTGGTGACTTACAGGGCACTGATTCTTTTCTCCGTAACCTCTGACTTGCTTGACCGCAACCTCATTCCTCCTGATCTCTCTCCGTCTTTGATATCCTTGACTGCAGCTGTGATATTTCCAGCTTCTTGGACCTTTTCTTTTCCTCATCAGATTCTTTTTTTCTTATCTGTGGATGAAGATGTTTCCCAAGGCTGGGAGCTCTGTGATTGTCCCCTTGTGGATATTCTCAGTCCTCCTGCAGATGAGGTCCCAGCTATACCTGTCCAGCCTGAACTTTTCTTCTGAGCACCAGTCCCACCTCTACTACTATGTACCAGAAGGTTCTAGTACTTGTATGGCCCATTGTCACCTCACCCAACTACTCCCCTCCCCCTCCAGTGTATCCATTTCTGTCAATACCATCCTTCTAGCTACTCAGGTGCAAGAGCCCCAGAGCCCTGCATGACCCAGGCTCTACCTGTGTAAGGGGTCCTCCTCTGTGTCCCGCAATGCCACCGCATGTCGTGATATTGCACTTCCCATATATCCTTCTAGCTACTCAGGTGCAAGAGCCCCAGAGCCCTGCATGACCCAGGCTCTACCTGTGCAAGGGGTCCTCCTCTGTGTCCCGCAATGCCACCGCATGTCGTGATATTGCACTTCCCATATTGTGACAGGCAGCTCTCTGTTTGCCTATTCTCCCTGCTAGGCTGTGAGCTACTCGAGGGCAGGGACAGTGCCAGTCAAACAGTTTCCCCCGCACCATCGGGTGCAGAAGGAAAAATGAGCTATGGCTGTCTTTGTGCCATTTCTCATCACCTCATTCCTGTATTACTGAGCTAAACACCAAATTGGCTTTTCTGCTTACAGGCTGTCCCTTCTCTAATCCATTAAGCTGCCAGATCAATCTCCCAAATGTTTCTTTATTCCCCCTGCTCCTTTCAACTCAGATACCTCTTATGGCTCCTCATTGACTCTGGGTTATTTTCTCAACCATCCCCAGAGCTTGTCTATCCAGAAACTTTAACACCTGAGCACTGTCCTGTGTTCCTCACCTAAACAAGCTCCCAGTTCCAGCCAAATTGTTTTCTCCCTGACTTGGCTTAATGATATTCCCAGCCACTGCCTTTTCCTTACCGGGGGCCACTTTCCTCATCAGGAGCCATTTGCTTCTCTTACTGCTGGATCTTTCCCATCCGTCATGGCACAGCACACGTCCTGTCCCCCTTACCGACTGATCTGCTTTCAGCTACTGCTGGAAAACGTTCCTGCACACATACCATACCCTACTTTGTGCTGCTAATTATATTTCTCCAAGTATATAATTATTTTCCCTCATTAGCCGGGAAAAGTCTTAACAGCAAGGCCCCTGTCTCACTCATCCGTGTATCATTTGTAATGCCTTTCATGTAGAAAGTACTTCATGGGGTAAAATGAATTCTCTCTTTCAGTTCAACTTCGGAGACGTCTTTGTCCATCAGGCCATCCACACCATCGAGTACTGCCTGGGTTGCATTTCCAACACAGCCTCCTACCTCCGGCTCTGGGCCCTCAGCCTGGCACACGCACGTAAGTTAGCGGTCCGTCAGGGTCACAGTCACATCTGCCCTGGGAGCCAGAGGCAGTGATTTGTGACACGTTTGGCAGAAGAGTAGCTCTTCTTTCTCAGGAAGAGGTGACTTTTTTCCAGTAGGTCTGGCTTGATATTGCTACCCCCTCTGTATTAGTTTCCTATTGCTACTGTAACAAATTGCCACAAACTAAGTGGCTTAAAACAAACTTACTGTCTTCCAGTTCTTGAAGCCAGAAGTCCTAATCTCCAGGTGTCAGCAGGGCTGTGTTCCTTGTGCAACCTAGGGGAGAACCTGTTTCCTTGGCTTTCCCAGCTTCTGGAGGCCGCCTGCATCCCTCGGTTGTGACCCCTCCCTGCAGTGCTCCACTCTTTGCTGCCATCTCTGTGTCTCCTTTTTCTCTGACACTGACTG